TTCCGGGACTCCTCTCTCTGCTCTCTTCCCGTGCACACGTTGGTTGCTGTTCGAAACATGTTTCTTATAAGCGCCCTTTTCGTGTGAGAGGGGTGAGAGGAGAGGTAATGAACCAAGATATTTTTACTACTTGGCTTTCGGTACCACTTTGTAATGTAGCCATTTTCTGATAGGTGAATTTGTACGTTCAAAAATGGAAGCCATTTTTTTTTCGGCTTTTCTCGGGTGAACTTGATATGCTCTGACTGTGCGTTTAATAATTCGAAGCATTTGTCCATTTCCTCTTGTGTTGAGCAAAGGACAAAGCAGTCGTCTACATACCTACAGTAGAGTAGCGGCCCGAGATCAGTCACCGGTGCTTCCACCTTAGACATAAATGCAATGGCAAGGCTTGGAGCCAGTCGTCAAAGAATCCTTACCTGCTAAGCATCTTGGTTTGCAGTTTTTTTCTGTTCACTTTTATTCAGTTTATTATTAACCCGTCTTGGGTGAACTCGGCCTGCATTACCTCCCAATAGAAAAGCTATCAAATCATCGTTAAACGACGACGCGTTTTGGTGCCACCATTGGCTGACTGGTCGACCCAAATACCCGATTCTTCCAGAAATTCGCAGCTTTTTGCTACTATAACTTGATGTTTCATGATGATATCCGGGTAGATTGTGGAAAGGGGAACTGCGATTTCCTTTGTATTTGCGCAATTTTCTAGTCGTACAATAGTGTGATTCCTATTTTTGTGACGTGTGGATTTTCAAAGATGTAAAAGTTTCACCATATCTTGATGAATATGTAGAACCTGTCAGATATTTGAATGAAAAAAGGGTAACGCTCTCGGCGTTGATCAATCCTAGTGAGATGCGCCATGCATTCGGCTTCACTAAGCATCGTTGGAGGTGATTGAATGCATATATGGCTTTTATAATGGCTCGTGATGGCCTATGGATATATCTAGTCAGTGCTGCTATCCTCTTAGACAAGCCTGATACCAATTTGCCGACCCCGGAAGATGGAAGGCATGGAGAGCCAAAGGCACAGGGCGCCTCCGACCACTGCGTCACACGTGCTCTTATATATACATATATATACATATATGTATATATATACATATATGTATATTTATCATATATGTGTATATATATATATGAAAGATAATTGAATAGAGGCCGAAAACTTTTTAGCCATATTTAGCTTAGTATCTAATTTGGTTGTATTATTTTTGTAGCTGTTAAGTAAACAATTTTATTGACCTAAATTTATCGACGACAGGAGAGATATGATTATATGAAAGTTACGGCAAAATCGAACTGTTCAGTAATTCAGCTCAGAATAAATTTAATGTTTGATGCCGACAGAATTTATTCGTTTATCCTGCTTCATCATTTTATTCTATTCATTCCATTAAAATTCATCAAGGTCGACGTCAGTTTTTTTCAATCGTTTACTGTAAATGAAGTCGTTGTCTGTACTGTTATATTGATTCTTCCGTGACCAAGGCACCTTTTCCCTGATCTATGGAAAATGTAGACAGAGGAAATAAAGCAATGCAGATCCTGAAGAAAATATTTTGTTTCAAATGCGACTGAACTCTAGGCTTAGTGGGTTTTCTGTGGGGTTTATAGAAGTATCTGGCGGACTAGATCGCAGAGAACTTAATCTTCTTCTAGTCTCCGAAAAAAGTGAAACTCGCGAAAACGTCAGATTTTTTGAACAAAGAGTATGACAACAACTTCGTGTGTGCTTATAAAATAAACAACGAATTACTGGTCAATGAAGGATTAACGGAAAATCGGTCCTGGGTACTACTGTAGGCAGAACGTTCAGCACCACATTTTGTCTCACTTAAACGGGGACAGTGTCGTTATTACAGAGCAAAAGGAGAAACATCATAGTAGTAGAGTCCACATTCTCACCGCTTCGATTCAAAATTCTATTTCAAACTGTTCCAAGCATCCAAGTAACACTTAAGTCGGCGAGGTCTTTATTACTTTTGATCTTGATTCCTCGAACCACTGATTAACACTCTCGCGACGACATTTAATCTCGAGTTCGTTACGGGCTGCGCGACACCTATTTTTCAGCCTTTGTGGACCCCAGTAGTTTTTCGACAGCTAGAGAATCTCGTGGGTTATGAACATGAACGTATTGTAGAAAATACTTGCTGTTATTACCAAGACCCAGTTTCTATTAACCTTGGCAATAATCAAATAATTCGCTATTTCCTTTATGAGCAAACGCGAGGTTATTTCAGAATTCGTAGTTGATACAGGTGACAGGTGATCTACTACACGTTATTATGCTCCATCACACAAGCGCATTACTATCAGCGTTCGGACGTGTTTTGCAACTTTTCGGTCTCTGGCTTAGTACGGCTCATTCGAGAGGTGCTCCACTGAGGATGATCCGGCTCGATGCACGACGAAGACGCCACCACGAGAAGAGGAACAAGCGGGTACCATCGACTCGGATTATCGGCTCTGATGTAGGCGAAACTGTTGAAACGTTGGCTGAATAAATAATCATTATCATCCTCGTGTAAGCTTAACAAAATAAACACGTTATGGGTCTCCATTTCGGTAATTTTTTTTAAGGCCCATCCACTCTATTCGATGGCTGCCATTCAATATAGCGACTAGGGTTGATATAGTAGTTGATTAGCACTCAGATTTCATGCTGATGGACTTGTTCGGAAGACGGCTTTTTTTTCAAGCGCGCCGAACAACGCCCAGCACAACATCTGTGTGCTACAGGCTATCAATTAATAACAAAAATATGGGTAGTTATTTCTACGTGTTAAAATAAACCAGGAAAAAAGTAGGACCAAGAATTGTCTTATTGGCAACTCCTGCAAAACCGTTATGACACACATAGGTGTCACCCATCGCGAAAATTTTACTCGTCTGTTCTTGCTTTGGCACAAATCTAGGTGAACACTACACATGGATACGTTCTATTTTTTCTCTTTTTTTTTCTTCTTTTTTTTAAGTAGTTCATGACTTTGTTAGTGCCTTGTTTTGCTAAATTCACATTGAAGCTTCATGCTCTGAATCCTGTTTAAACTAATAACTCGAATACGGCAATTCCTTCCGGTGTGAAGAACGCGAGATACCACAGAATACCTGGATACTTCAATGGCCCATCGTTACTGGTTATGCGGGCTCAGGCATAATTCCACTTTTTAGGAGTTTTGCTGGTTTAACCATTGTGGTTCCTTGGAGTTCTGAAGTCAGCCAGACCAGTCTGCCCCAAGTCGTCACTACCACAGGCATTCGCCGCCCTTGTGGACCAGAGAAAGATTTGCCACCATGGGACTAGCCTTACACCAGGATGGTAATGGACCCAGGTACTGGTTTACTGTTAGCTGGTTTTTCAACGTTTCCTTATGGAAACAGCTCAGCTAGAGAGACTCTGCCGAAGGGATGAATCCTCCCGCTGCACATGCCAGTCCGACACCTAGGAACACTTCCCAGCCAAGATGAGGCGATAAACCGTTGGAAGGAAACCACGAATTATAGCAAAAAAAACAACGAAAGATATATTCAAAGGGGTCCAGAAAATCAGAATTTCATCTTTTTGCAGTAAAACAATTCGTATTTGACCAGTAAATACCCATAGATTCCGTTGGATTTTATTTCATGAAATTGAATTTGGCCATTATTTTCCCATTGGGTGGATCATATACGACTCACATGGTAGCGGACATCCATTAACACCTGTTGTGTTTTTGGACGCATCTTTTACAGATTTGTAGTCTCATTCTTCAACGATTTTGGTGAAACAGCGAAAAAGAGTACCACTAACGATATTCATTCGAAAACTAGTTATACCTTAACTCTTCATCCTACAATGACGGTGATCAATATGCATAAAAGTCGAATGGACCTCTGATCACGATCTTTCATTCCGACGTGCTAGTACTTCTCGTTCGGCGGCGAGCTTCCGTCGTAGGTACTCCTTGGCGATTCGTAGAGAAGGCAATTGATCGAAAAGCTTTTCTAAACAAAAATACCGTTGTTGCCAACAGTAAGATGATGCTTGTAAGATATATTGTTCTATTTTTTTTAATGATTTTTTAACGCTTAAGATATTCACCGTGGAAATCTTCTCCGTAACCACTACTCAGCAGCATCGCACCTTCATCGGCAACATTGAACTGTCCACGTACGCGAATAGACTCGCTCTCAGCAAACGCTTCTTTAACGTCTCCTCAATAATAATCTTTTAGTAAAGATTATTCGTGTAAAACTGAAGCTTTGCTAGGCCACTGTTTCATGCCTACTGAATGACTACAGTGAATGGTTACTGTCCGAATAGTTTTACTAAGTGTGCGAGTAAATGGAACTCTATGAAAACGTTGAAAAAAGCTTTCGCCATTGATTAATCACCTAAGAATTACACCGTGTATTCGATTCCATTCGTAGAAACGTTAAGGAGATTGAATGTATATTTGGTTTGAACAGTATTCCCTAAGGACAAACGATGCACCAGGTCAATGTTTTTATTCGTTTAAACATTTCTGGCACCAGCTATCTCCAAGACTGAAGAGACCAATGACTTGGAGAGCTCGGGGCGCTGGATAGAACCAACATTTGTACTACCGACACCAATGTGTTGCACGTGTTCTTCTAGTTAGTACCATAGGTCCACAACTCTACCTACTAATTTTGTCAAGAAAAACTGTTATACTGTTCGATAATAGAAATGGTCCTCTCCAAATCCCTTTCCATCGCTACAGGGTCAGTACTAGTTCGCAGACTGAAGGGGAATGCAAGGGTTGGTTTCTTAGACTCGGGGTCAAATCTGCGCTTGCTGCAGGATATCTCTAATAGCTCCACTGCACACGACCTCATAAAAGTAGCAAAAAACCAACGTGTTGCAGGGTATGTAATCGGATACGAGTGAAGGTTTAGCTGAGAACAGCTGTCTATACGTTCCAAGTGTGAATTCTAGTATGGATGCTGTTTGAAGGCAACGTAAACCAGCAGATTTTCGAGGCAAATTTTAACATCCAGGGAATAAAAATTACTTCAACTGAAAGGATTAACGTTTGATGATATAATGAATAGAACGTTTAGAATACGTTAAGCAAAGGTAGAGCGGTGGCCAGAGGTGCCTTTCAGTAATGTAGTAATATGCGCAGAGTCAATGGTTTGATCCCAGAGTGGACCAATCGCTAATGTCTCGCATCCTCCTTACACAACAAATTGGAACCAAACCTATTTGCCAAAGCTCTGTCGGACCAACAAAAGCTTGAACTGCTCGCGATGGAGACCTGAGAACAAAGTCTTGTCATGGCTATTCAAGTTGAATCTGGTCCACAAACAATCAAGGACATTCATAAAGACTAAATTCGCAAGCAGCAGCGGAATCAGAAGTGCTGGGATGCGCACCATATGATATCGGATGATATCAGGTGATCTAGCGAAATCAGAAGAAATTTTCATTTCTTACACAAGAAAAAGAAACACTTGATTCACCTGCAACCATTGCGAGGATGAGAATAGTAATCCACATTTTAGATTACTGTGAAGGGCAGTAGTAATTCCAGCTAGCAATCTCCTTTGCCAATAACTGAGGGCGTCTGTTAGATCGATGGCGGATAGAGTTTCTGTATCAGTTACAATTACACAGACGTCGTTCTCCTTTTGAGTAATGAACAAATTAAGGTTTCAGGTGGTATTCGTTGAGTAAAATGATGACATACTACTGTAGAAGTCCAAGTTAAGACTAAATAAGTTAAGACGTAGAGACTAAATCAATAGAACAAACTATTCTAACCCATAACTAGTACGTTTTATGTGCTACTAGTAAATATTTGTCACTGAGTAAGTCAATAATAGTTGTGAGTGGACTGTGAACTTTATAGAGATGTGAAAGTTTGCGTCGATAAACGAAAGCCAACAGCCGGTGATGCCAGTTTTGTCGCGTCAGTGCCGCAAATATACGCCTGAGAGGTAATCGCTAACCAGTAGGTCATTCAGAGTCGCCCAATTGTCAACCGGGATATCGGCGGCGATGATCCGGATTCGTCGACAGCGCCGTCAACTTTTGCGAGCAACGCACGCGAGCTGATTTTTAATTGAATGCCAAACCCGCCGATCAACACAAGCATCGCAATTATTTTCAACCGGTCACCAGAAGATAAATAACGATAATCGTTCGACAGCGTTGACGTAATCCACCAATATAAATATAAGGATAAATATATGGCTATAGCTGAGGTACGTGGAGCGGAGTGGTTTTGGTATACCCTTGAAATGCATGAGGGTAAGTGTTGAATAGCACACCTTGGCAGAAACAACCTCTGCGTGCCTTCAAGGGTCGATAAGTTTTCACCACACGTCATTCTATAGAATTAGTGTGCATTCAATCACCTCTAAAATGATTCTGGAGTGAGAGATATGTCGCAATCTCTAAGGAATTCACTAACATTGGAGCCGCTTAATCTATTTTCTCTTAGATCATTAAACAAACGTGAGATTGATGAAAAGACTTATTCGGCTAACGCTTTTTTCGGTTTTTTATTTTCTTGGTTATCCCACCTCCCTGGATTCGATCCGACCATGACAACGAAGAGCCACATCGTGACAACGATCAACTGTGGAGACCATCGACTCAAATCAATCCCGCTTCTTGAAGAAGACGAAGTCAAAACGATAGCCGAATAAAACTTTTGTCAACATCGTGTTTGTTCGAAGAAAGTATTGATGCATTCTTCCCGATCTTTAGTGAAAGTGGGGTTGAAAGCTATCCTTTGTTAAACAACCATAATGATGCTGAGATATTTGCAAAACTCCGGACCGCAGGTGTCTGCGGTGGGGAACGAACGCGCTATTACTCTTTCCGGAGGCTAACGCATTCACCACCACACAATGCGAGTCTTTTGTTTCGTTATCTCTCAGCTATTATGTAGGCTATAGACTTGGCTATTCTATTAGACTCCGGAAAGGGTAACAGCGGTAATAGCGTTTTCGTCTCCACAGCAGACACCTGCGGTCCGGAGTTTTCCAAATATCTCTGCACCATTTTGATTCTATTTCGCATAATACTCTGCTACAAAAAATCGTAGTAAGCGGCAAATAAAAATTTAATATTAACATGGAACAATTTCTTACATCATTCTCGGATAGTTAATCACCAAGGCGCAGAATTCTGACGCAGTGACAAGAACTGAAGTCTTCGTTGAGGAACATAAGTAGCAAGAAGGAAAATTTTTCTTCGATCCGAAAAGATGGGTAACTGGCTACAGTAAGTACTGCCTATAGAACTCTTTTAGCACAGGTATCTCGGCATTATGTTGAAGAACCTGGAAACGTTGCAGAATCCATATTTGGACTGGACCACTGAGGTCAACAGTTGCGACACAATCGGACAGGTGGAGGGATCCTCACGATATATGGTGACAGATCATCTATTTATTTATTCTAAGCAGCTATAATATTTAGCAAATGTGTCTATTGCACGATATGGAATGTTAAATTCAAATATTGTAATAAGGTGACGCATTTACCTATGCACCTCTATACTCTTAGGATATCTTTTCTAGTTGCTCACCAACAATCACAAGATACAAAATAGGCTGGGAATCTTGGAATTGCCTCTGGAGCGTCTTTATCTTATGGAAGAATGTTGAACTTCTCAAACAGCTAATTCGGACTACAATACTATGCTGACGTTTACCTTGTGTTACTTCGTGACATATGGTTGTTACAATGGAGAAGTTGCCACCTGACGCGTTGGTTGCCCTCGCTTTGCAGGAGAAGGTGGAAGAGGAACACAAATTTCTTTGTCAATTCCTCCTATCTTTTCTTTAATTTTCATTGTTCCTTCCAGTCTCCTTCTTTTGCTTTGGTTTTATCCCTCTCACGACTTCGATTTCTCATGTCTAATATACGATTAATATGTCGATTTTTCTATTCACTAGTAGAATCGAGTCCTTTTTTTAAGAAGCTAAAAGTTAAGGAATCAACCTCACTGAGATGCAACGCTTAATATGTAATTTAGCACAGCTAAATGCGTAGACCTCTCAACGGTTTGACTCCTCATCGTGGCCGAGAGCTGTTCCTGAGTGTCGGAATTCAATGTACAGAAGGAAGATTCATCCCGACGGCAGAGTCTCCTAAGTTGAGAAGGAGTCTGGAGTTTCCATCAGAAAGCTCAGCTAACATTAAAACAATGCCAGGATTTACCACTCTTTCGGTACCAAACTAGTTACTTGATGGGAAACCTCCCTCTGATCCACAAAGGCGGCGACTGCCACTTGTGGTGACGACCTGGGGCAGACTTTGTCCAGGCTGATCTCGGGACTCCAAGGAACCACGGTGGGTAAATGAGCAAAACTCCGAAAAATGGAGCTTGTGCTGAGCACCGCACAGCCAGCGAGGACACACCATCCAAGTATCCGAGAAACTAAATACGTGGAAGGAGAAGGTGGAGCAGTGGTTAGTGACGAAGCGGATCAGGAATCAAAGCCTTACTTCGAAACTCTTCCCTTCGCTCTGCTCCAACCAGCGTGGGAATAGCTTAGCTCGGCTATTTCCTAAATCGCACAATGCCAGGATCCACCACTGTCCTGGTATCAAACTAGTCCTGGTGTAACTCGACCGACATTCTACGATATTCGTTCTACATCATTCATGAAGAACACAAAATTCTCAAGCAGCAGCCGCAACAACGCGTTCGAAGATCTTTACGGACAACGACTGCTAGGAAAACGAAAACGCAGGAAGTGCTCGTATATGCACAGTAGATGTGATGACGGATCATATAGGAAGAATATGTGAAAGCTTCGGTGATCATTCATCACTTGTCTTATGAACCACAACATAGTATCCTTTATTTCTACTTCTTGACGAATACTATTAAATGAGGTTAGCCTGCCTTACGCATGGCGATGCAAGTTTTTCATTCGTCGTCTTTCTTGAAGAGTCGTCTGTCTCTTGGATTATCTTGGGTCGTTCTTCTTGTTTCCCTATCGTCGACCCTTTCTGAACAAAAAAAGCATCTTCTGCATTACATATCTCACTGATCAAAAAGACAAAATATTTGTTGATGATCTGAACCTTCAAACAAAGCTTGTTGTTGTGTAATCGAGCTGCACTTGAAAAGTCGCTTTGGATAGTGCGAGTGATACTAGACGTGGTTAAGAGGCTTAAATTCTGTAAATGTTAAGTGCTAGAAGCTCATGTAGAGTGGCCTATATTAAACATTTACGGCAACATTGGTTACTGAATTAGGTCGAAATTCACATGATGAATTCTTTGACTTGCATGGACACTCCAAGCCATTCGACGTCACGCTCAGTAAGCTTGATTGATTCTTCACTTTAGAATGCAGGTGTCTGGAGCTTAATGTTGATTGGTTATTTATTGTGGTATGCGCGTTCCTAAAGCGTACGTTTACCGGTATCATCCCTCGTCCCGCTGAACGTCGAGTGAATTGAGCAAGAGCCAGCAGACTCTCTGCTTATCTCTGTCGTGTGCAAAAATAGCCCAATCAGTATTGCTTATAATAGAGACTCGTTAACCATCATATCTTTCTTCTAGAGTTTCCCTGAAAAGCTCTAACCGTGCAGTCGGTCGTTTTCCTGCTGCGCTTTTGACAACCCGAGGAATCCAGTCGCTAACAGCTCTTGTCCGTCGGTTATGGTTCATACTCATTACGTGTCCACTCTTACGTTAATGCAAGAAATCGCAAAGTCGAAATTATGAGCAAAGAGCTTCATATTCTTTGACCTTGTCAATCACCCACTTGCACGCTCTCCAAGCGACAGGTTTCCTTTTGCTCAATTCGGGAGCTAAGTTGATGATAATGGTGATTTCTTTACGGAGATTCCTTTGAATGTGGATGGTTCATCGGAAGAGGATTACTCCTTTGGAAGCATCGTTGTCCTTCGCAACAGCATTAAATGATCTTTCCACATGTGCTGTCGAAATCACACAACATTTGTCATGCTGCGTAATGCTTTGTGTTATGCGAATTCCGTCATCAACTAAGCGATAATGGTATAGCTGCTGCACATTTACTTTCATTCCTTAGACCTTCACAAGTTCACTCTGAGCTGCTACTAGTGGTTCTGAACAATTCTGTCAAGATCACATTTCCTTTCATAATTCAGCCGTTAAAAGGGAGGGTGTGGGGCAGTGGTTGGAGGCGCCACTGCGACACACGTGGAGTCGATCTCCGCGCCCACGTCTCACTAAGTCTTCCATCCCTCCGAGATCGGAATTGGTACCAGACTTGTCTGAGACGACAGCGGCACTAGCTTGACACGTAGATGGGTCACCGCGAGTTATTGTAAAGGCCAGATATGCATTCAATCACCTCCAACTATAATTAATGAAGTCGAATGCATGGCGCATCTCTCAGGGATTGATCAACGCCGAGAGCTTTGTCCCTTTTATCCTTTAATTCAGCTGTTCACGTGGAATACGGTTTTCTTCAAGTGTTGCAGAAACATGGTCGCATAACTACTGTTGAGTAAATGA